TATTTAAAGGTAGTAGAGGACATGTACCTGTATATAAAAAATGAAATATTTCCAAGCAGACTAGGGTAGAGTATGGAAGTTGCAAGCTAAACGCTATACCTCTGACAAGGAAAAGGCTAAGCTACAGGTAGTGCATAGTACCACCAGTGGTACACATATCATGCATGACTGCATGACTGCAGTAGAACACAGAATGGGCACGCTGAAAAATGGGAGAAGGTGCTGAGGACTTAGTTAACATTTGAAATCTTTGGCTGTAGGAAAAAAGCTGAATGGGCTGAAGATATGATGATGTGTAGAGTTGGGCATCGGGGATAGACAATCAATATGAACTGGTTCTAAACTTTCAATTTTCCCAGAATCTTTGACATTCTTACTTTTGATTCCTAGTCAACCAATCAGAAAAAGAATCTGACTAATAATGGCGATGAAAAATCTACAGCCGCATGTGTCCAACAATCTATTTGTGCAGCAGCATTTCAAATTTTGACCAGAAGGCTACCTGTGACACTTAGAATTGGATGGTGCACAGCCGAAATAATTGCCCCTCCATGTTGTTCTTATTCGGAACACTTGCAAAATGTGATATTTTTCCCCCTTTCAGATTCCGTCCAGCTGTCATATCCTGGAGCCAGTGAAGCTGACAATGTGTCCTTGATGGCAGCCTATTTGTGCTCAGCGCCTGACACGAAAGGGGGTGATGGTCGCAAGACTGCAGCTGCCAAAAGTGTTGTTTAATAATGTGCATTCTGCAGTAGAAAGTATTTCACTTTAAAGGTGCCGTAGTTGATCTTTTGTGATGCATTTTTTACCATTTGGCTTGAAGATCTCCCCACAGCCGCATAGCAAGCAATGAATAGACGGTTTGGACGTGAAACAAAAAAAAATTGTCCCCTTTACAGTGTGAAATAAATGAGTAATGTCCACCAATCAGAAAACACGGTCCATGGTCCACTACTGGTTCTTGACACGTCAATCTGTTTGCCCCCGTGCACATACCCAGACATATGAACGAATCGACCCCCCAATACTCATGCAGGACACCATGGTTGGAAGCTAGCCACTATGCTAAGTTCACACCTAAAGCAGCAAGAGCATCAAAAATGAGCATGCTGCCTCATTTTTGATGCTTTTACAAGTTTAGTTCTGAAGCATCTCTGCTGCTCTAGCTGCGCTGTGGAAAAAGTGGGTTTGATGCGCGTTGGGCTGAGCTACCCTATCCTTTCTTTGTAACAACGGCAGCTATATTTGCTGTGATCAGTGGGTAAAAAGTTGTTTAAATCTATTTTGAAGAGATAAAATCCTCCTCAAAACCTCGTCAGTGCACTCAGTTCATCCAGATTACCATCTTGCCTTCAAATATGTCAGAGCCACTAGGGGCTCCGACATAAGGTGTTTTTAATGTACGTAATCCAAACTGCAGACACCAGGTTAATACAAGATAACATGTTTTGCCAGCAGATTTCGGCATTTTAAGTTTGATCAAAGCCCTCTGAATCATCAGTGCTGTATCTGTTTCCCTGCCAGCTCCCAGATTAGCAACGCGCTGCTCCTGCTGCCCAGACCCCTGGCAGGACCTTTTGCTGCGCCGTAATGTGCGTCAACAATTGCTTTGCATGTAAACTAACTGATTTTGCTGCCTCTGCTGCTTTAGGTGTGAATGATAGGATGTTGTGAGCTCATGTGACAAGCACTCGGTCTCGGCTTGTTTTGTTCTTAATCTCGGAAACATCCAAACACCTCGAAAGACAGCATGCGGGTTCATGTATTTTGAAGGCGTGGTTTCAAGGGGTGGTCTGAAGGGAGAGGCATGGTTGTGTATTTTCAAAAATATAGCTTGCTGGAACCGTTTTCTAAGATCTCCTACGGCACCTAATTCGCTTGTGCTATTGTGTAAGACTTGTATGTTACACTTGTGGTCACTTGCCTGTTAGCAAACTGCACAGCTGTGCAGTGTTAATTTCGTCAACCATGACGATGACGAAGATATTTCGTCAACGCCCCTTTTTCCCATGACTATGACGAGACGATAACAAAAAAATAGATTCCAGAAAATAAAAATATGACGAAAAAAAAAAATTATTTTCGTCAATGAGACTATGACAGACGAAATTTACGATCCATTGACGAATGGACATTAAGAAATGTAATGTTATTGTTTATGATTAATTTGTAATTGTTAATATAAGTGTTTCCTGAGCGTCATAGAAGATTATGCATTGTTACGCCATTTGTCCCTACACGGCGCCTGTCCCACAGTGCCTCGTGCCGCTCAGTCGGTAGTAGCAGAGGGCTTATACTCATAGCTCAACTTCGCAAGGTTTAATGTTTACAGTGTGATATATGTTAAAAAGAGAATCAGTGTGTGAAGTTCTATTCTGCACAGTGTTATATAAATAAAATAGAGAAAAAGAGAATCAGTGTGTGAAGTTCTATTCTGCACAGTGTTATATAAATAAAATAGAGAAAAAGAGAAGCAGTGTGTGGTGAAGTTTTATTCTGTACAGTGTGATATATATGTTTAAAAAAGCAGTGTGTGGAGAAATTCTATTATTTACAGTGTTGACTAAAACTGGACTAAGACTAAAATTGATTTTCATCATTTAGACTAAGACTAAAACTAAATCGGGAAGGCAATAACTAAATATGACTAAGACTAAAATTGATTTTTTTCATTGTGACTAAGACTAAGACTAAAGCTGACGAAATTAACACTGCTGCTGTGGAGATGGATGTTTTAGAATGTTGTTCAGAATACATTTTTTTTGTTATACTTGTATTGTTGAGCTTTGAAAAAATAATGTAGTTGGAGAAAAATCAGGGCACAAAATTCACGGAGTATATTACTAACTGTAGTTATGCACTTCACCAGTAGGTGGTGACATGTTCACATGAAGCTTCATGAACTGTGGGGATCGTTGAAGCAATTTGGCCAAACGGTTCAAAGCATGATGAGGCTTCATCTTACCATTACTAACCTTAACCTCCGTTGTTGTTTCATGCATCTGTAAGCCCTGATTAGACTATCGGTTGTTGTATTCACTTCCGAAAGGCAGACTCTGTGAAGTAAATTCACCAAAGGCTGCCTTCTTCGTCTGACTATCCGCAAACAACAAAATATAACAATTATAACCAAACTTCCTGAATATTACGGGTGCCGCCATGTTGATTTGCTTTTTTACCTCTAGAGAGCAGTAGTACCGTAGATCGACACTGGGAACCATGCTAGCGTGATTTGTAAACGGTCGTAAGGAACGAAGCTCGGCACGGTTAACTGATCCAAGCTTGGTTCAAGCTCGGCACGAACTGGTTTTCAGAGGGTAGTTTAAATGGGGCTTTTGTGATCTAGCAACACTCCAAGCTCCCAGCAGTACTTTAAAAGGAGGAGGTTTACTTTAGTTATTTTATTTCCTACAATGGCCCAGTGTTCTAATGAACCAAAAGGAGACTATCTGCAACACAAAAACCCTTTTTTGTCCTAAGTTTATTTTTGATTATTTACTCACACCATTGAGAAAATACTGTAGATCACATGTGCATTGCACTGTGCAACCTTCTAAACTCTGTGCAGTCTTAACTGATTGGATCCAAGTTAAAGGTTTGTTTAGGAATAATGACATGCTGAATGCTCCGAAATACAGGATAATATTGATTCCACAATGCCTTACCATCACGGAGGTATATAATTGCACCCAAATTATTTAGCAGAATGACCCAAACTCTTAACACTCAGCCATGGTCATTAAGAACGTTATACCTTCAAGAGGAACAATAGTCCACAGAGTAATAACAAGACCCCCACAGAGCGCCAATCTGAACACTATTAAGTTTTTTTTTGGTACACAGAAGGATTTAGGTAAGCCTATACATAAGCCTATATATAAGAAAATCTGTGGTTAGCTGTCAGAGATGTGGAGATGGAGTCTTTAAAAACTGCAAGTGCACCTTAATTAATCTAGAAATCCATGCTTTTTGAAGGATGAAAGATGGTCACATGAAATGCTGATTTGATTTAGATTTCTTATACCGTACATGTATAAAAAAATACAAATCTTACCTTACTGTAAACTCTCCATCATGTTATGTATTTTACTTACAATGCAACAAATATCTGGAGTTCACTATATAATATGACTTTCTGTCAAAACCATTTAATATTTAAGAAATGTGAAACTGACCAAGTTATCAAGTTCAGGATCCTCGCTGAAGAAGGGTTTACCCTCTTTTTCTTGGCTGCGCACGAAGTTCTCAATGTCCACATCAAAGCTGGCAGAGGTGATGCATTCAGAGCTGAGTGTGGACTGCTCACATTTCTCAAAAAGCAGAGCCAACAAGGGGAACAGGGGGTGTCTGTGGACACAGGTACAATGACAAAGCACAGTCTTATTGTAGCTTAAGAGAAAAAAAGGAACAAAAAAATAAACATTTACAATAGTACAAATAATTACACTCTTTGATGTATTACAGGGACATTTATTCTGGGTACAACAGAAATAGGCAGCAATAAACGATGTGGATGACCCCTGAGAGGCGATACTTCCACTGAAAAAAGTCTCACTACCGATATATAGATGCCTTGTCTGCATCCATGGGTGTCTGTGGTTCAGTGGGTACTGGGTTGGACACTTCAACCAATGTCCCTTCAAACTTCACCTCAGAGTCACAGTCTAGTTTTACAACGCTTTGCATCTGTAATAATAAAGCAAAATGAAATGTTAAAGAGAGGAACCAGAGAAAGGAAGAGAAAAAACAACTGACATTTTATAAAAAACAGCCAGAGATCAATACTGAGCCTCAATCTCAATAAGAGATACTGAGAAAGTGTCATTTTCACACACCTAATTTCTTTGTGTGTTTTTCATACAACCTCACAATCTGAATATATGTATTTGGAATTTTAAGTTTAGTTGACCTCCCAGCAGGTCAACGACCTCAAGCCTAACAAGAAGTTTACAAATGAACGGTTTAGATATATTCAAATCACTTTAAAATAATATTCATCTGACAGAGGTGAAGCTACTTCATACAAATGAATAGACGTAAAAGGAAAAATCTATGGAGACCTTGAGCTGTAAAGTTAATGCAAAAGTTAACTTCTAATATAGTCTTTTCATAGCATCAAGTGTTTTTTGGTTATGTTATTTATTTTTTTACAATATGCTGAATTTAAAAAAAAAGAAGCATATCATGATATTTAAATAGATTATTCTCAAAAAGGTTTTAGAAACAAAATGAATAAACACAAAACTATGATGTTTCTCACACATGATTAACCCAAAGCAATTTTAAATATTTTGACAAATATGAATCTACTAATGATTCGTGTTTGAAGAATGGAAGATCGGATCTCTGCCAGGGAAAGAGAGGTGGAGGAGAGGCTTAGGGTAGCCGGGAGGACATTGGTACTACAATGTGGAATTAAAACTGAAGTACTATATTTTTTTCCAGTTAAAAACCGATTATGCCAATAGCCTAATCCTGTAAAATGTCCTCAATAATAATAATAATAATAAAAATCATGATTTTTATGATTCAAAACTTGGGATATGTTTTTGCCACATCGCCCACCCCTACATCACTATAAGCTTGTTTTAACCTTAGGATTTCTAATATAGGCCCAGACTGATGACAAACAGACTTTTCAAACCTGAAAGAGTTGAAGTTCACTGCTATAGATGACGTGGCAAAAAAACTGGTGGAGAAATACCGGAAGCTGGTCAATAACCAGAAGATTTTGATTGTTGTTAGCGCTGGTGTCTAAACTGGTGAACGAATTCTACTACTTGAGTTACTTCATACACTTATTAATAAAAGAGGAGCAACTAACTTGCAAAATTAAACAAACTCCTTAGAAGGTTGCTGGACGGTTCAATGTTAATGGTCTGGTCAACTGCTTTTCCAATGGTAATGTTTAAATATGGTATTTAAAGTCGTAGGGAAGCAGCTGTTCCAACGGTTACAGTTCTGAATTCTTGGAAAAGTGTAAAGTTGTGCCTTACTTTCCAAGAGTGAAGAAAGTGAATGTGATTGGTAGTTTATCAAGAGGGTGGAATTGTTGTGGCATAACTTTTGCAAGCAATTTTGATTGTGGCCTGTGTCTTGGAAGCATTTTGCTAACCAGTTAGCAACTTAGTGCTAGTAGGTTCCCAATGGGAATTTACATTGGGACCAAGTAGCACTAAATTGGTGAATTAGAAACGACAGTCGAGGAACACTACGGACAGCGGAAACATGCAAGAGGAGGAGAGTTTTGTGTTGCAGGCCGTGGATGAGTCTCCTCCGTCATCCATTTTTTATTTAGAGGAGGAAAGCGGGGATGAAAAAGTTGTAGAAGAGGACGCCAGGGTGGCAGAAGCTTCATTTGGTGTAGAAGGCTTACAGCCGTACATGTTTGAGCCCTTGCCTCGCAAAGTTGCCAGTTCTGTTAGCTCTAAGCCTAACACTGGGACAGAACTCAATGATTTAGTAAATGATCCTTATATTTTATTTAAACCGCTGCGTATATTAGCTGCGACATATGAATGAGATGCTATGACTGAAATAAGTTGATTGACAGATGACCGTTGATATATGATTGGCCGAATTTAGGTGTACAAGCTGACATAACTAACTGGCCTGCATAAAATAACGGGGGTGAAGACTGATTTTCAGAAATGATTTTTTTTTTTATTATACAAATTTTCAAACTTAGAGTACATGTTAATGCCAGAATGACTTGAAATTTCAATATGACTTCCCTATGACTTTGAACTCTTGTACCCACCTGCTGCTCCCCTTTTGGGTACTTGTCTATGGAAACCGTCTGAGCTGCCATCACGTTCACTGCCAGCACTGGGGCATTATAGAAACCAGGTATAGATGGCCAACCTACACAACACATGAGCTCAGTTAAACTGCTGACTTAATAAAAACAAAAATTGTGGAAATAAGTACAATATCCTGGTGAAGATTCTCAGTCATCCAGGTCATAGTCATACCAAAAAATAAAATAAGAAGGATATTACAATACTGTATTTTGTTTCTCAGTAGCCTGGGTATACCAGAGAAAATGAGACCCCAACCTTTATGAAGTAATATAGCGTTTTCAGATAGCAACAGTTTTTTTAAACTGCGGATTAAAAAAACGACCAATTTCAACTAAAATAAAAAGCTTTATTAATTCTCCTGATCACCAGGACAAGCTATAATACAATGAAATGTTAAGAAGGGACGTAAAGAACTGTTTATCTTCACTTTTCAGCTGGTACTACAAAGCTGTGTAGTTAGCCTATGCGCGCAGCTGTTAACACACCCACCATGAATTAGCCTTTAGCCAGTGTTAGCTATAGCCATGTTGTGCACACAGTGGATTGAAAAAAAAAATATTTGCAACCGTTTGAACAGACTATAATTTATAGAGGCCCCCAACATGTAAAACCAAAGTTGCTAAGTTTCAATAAAACCGCTTTTCGGCTTGCCTTCAATGATAGCGCCGTTAGCCTTAGCTTGTATAACAAATCTGATGCAGCACAACATTCTGATCCGGCTAATTCTAAATATAGAGAGGCAGTTGCAGATGACTATGTATTGAATGGTTTTATCAAGAACCCAACTTCGAAAGTGCTTATCACCGAATTGAAGCACGTCACGTTATTAGGAAAGTAAAAGAATGCTAACGTTGCTAAGCAGCAATAAGTCCGCTGCGGATTGATTCGATGTTAGTAATAACAACCGTTTCACTTAGGCTTTAATTTAGAAAAAGAAGTGCTTGATAGCTGTCTATTGTTAACCAATACGGAAGACGTTGGTAGAACACAACGGTATCTTAGTTTAAGCTCAAATCCGTCCCGTCAGTCAATCTATCATGCGAGGACAGCTGCTTTCTCTCCGTCTTTTCTACCCTCCCCTCTGCGCTAACACTACCGGGCCTCATCTGGAACCCCGGCCCTTTGCTTAAGCTCAGTCCTACTCTGCCCCCAAAACGCCGACATATTACTTGACCCCCTCCCTCATATACATATATATATATATATATTTCCAACTGCTCTGTCGCTTCGGCATCCTTTCATATACCACTCTCCACTGTTTATGCCTCGGTTCACGCTCCATGCCCTGGAGCATTTTAGCGTGCGGCCTAGATTGTTTGATTGATAGGGAACGAAAAAAAAGAGGGATTTTGAGTGACAGCTTACCTGAGTGCCAATCTTCGTCACACTGACAAGCGGTTGCAGCAATCGGGACCCGCAGTTGTCGTGTTACGTCATCGCGCAAGGGTACGTTCTTGAACCAGGCTCATGTATATGTATAAAGTGGGCGGAGACATGACGTCCTGTCGCCATGAGTCCTGGTTGGCTTCATTTAAACAAGGGTAGTTCTGCTCTACGTTTTCCCTTCCCTTCTTATGTAAAACAGGGTTGGTTTATTTATAATCAGTTAATGAACACCATGTGGAAGTAGGTTAATTCTGGTTTCTGAATGGTAAACATTAGCACGGTCCGAAAAGCTGTACTAAACAAAGTCTCGTTTTGTATACACTGTGTATACAAAATGATAATAATAGTTGTCTAAGTCTAACAGAAAAGGGCCTTGTGCTTTACCATGCTCTGTGATACAATGAAAATTCAGTCTTTTGTCTATCATATCATATACCAGTTATTTACACAAAAAAGCAGCACCTGCATTAGCCCAAAAAAAACACCCTTCATTTCTTACACATGTTCTTTAATTACATCACAATTTGACAACTGTTTTTTCTACAGATGATGCAGTGATATCTTTACACATATATGAAGTGTGGCAACATTAAGTCCACCATGGACATCATCCGGCCCTCTAGTGTGTGGGTGAGGGTTTGCCCGAGGAGGGCTGAGGGAGACGATACTTGGCCATTTCCACATCCAGATCTGCAAATGTATAGCTGGTATAGTCGTGGTGCTGATAGTTTTTGTAAGTGCTGTTGTCAAAGGGCTCCTCGGGCTCTGGGGGTGCTGATGCTGGCTCTAGAAGAAGAAAAAAAGAGCCTTATGAAGAATAATACCACAATACTTCCATTTCACACATCCCCAAACAGCAAAACTGTTGCTGTACACTAATAAGCTGGGAAACAGCCAAGAGAATGTATGAGAGGATTTGAGAAGCACCAGTTTCATGTTCATATATTTCAACAGAGAAGCTCCTTGAATCATGTTTTCCCTATAGTTTTGCTTCTGTGAAGAAATGCAAATGAAAGGCCTTAAAGTATAACTCACACAAAGTAAAAACATAACCCAACACCTACATTTTCAAAAATGCCACAAAAGTGGTCGGCGCTAAGCAACCCTGAGGGGCACAGCTAATCAGTGAGCAGTGGGGGTTATTAGGGCTTTGGTCAGGACAAGAGAATGGAACAGCTAGATATATCCTTGAAAATGGAGAAATTATATTTAGCCACAGTTTAACCACTTCAAAAATTCAAAATAAGGAGCACTACAATTTTTTTGCATTTGCAATTAGTGGCTCCATTTTGGTTGATCAAAGGTTTTTCATGCTAATAATGAAATGTGCAGAGCGGTTAGGTTTCATCCCATTGAAATAAGCAGTGTTTTTATGTAGTGTTTATTGTACTGGCAGCTGGAGAGTTGTCATAAAAAAGATACAGTTTTAAGCCATTTAGTTAAATAATGATACCAATTGTAAAGAACAAAAAATAAATAAAACAAAATTTATATTTATATTGCACTTCACATACAGCTTATGTGCTTTAAAACATAAAATTTCAAAAAAGGTTAAACATAAAAGATGAAATATATCAAATACCAAAATATTATAAAAATGCCACAATATTTAGTTCTTTTACGTTTTTTTTGTTTTATTTGTATATAGAATGTCTGCTGGCACACTGCATTAAATTATGTTGGCCTGCAAATACTTTTAATTAATAACATTTTTTTTTTTTTACAATTAATATTCTATCATTTATTTGCACCTGTCAAAATGTAACAAATGCACAGAATCTTTATCTATCTTGTGATTGTAACAATCCCTAGTTTTTAAGCACAGCCACAGCAGGCATTTGTGAAACAGTCTTTCAAAGGTGCTAAATAAGACACGTTTCCCCGAGTTCCGGGTTTGGGGGGGAAAAAATCAGCCCCTTTGCCTTCAGTGCAACATGCTCTCCAGAGGTTAAACTGAGGCCCCGTCCACACGAAGACAAACCCTGGCCTAAACGCACAGATTTTTCACCAAACCAGCCTCTCATCCACACGAAGCCGGCATTTCGGGGATCTGTAAACGATCTTTTTTTTATTCTGCCTTCAGAGTGGGAAGATTTCGAAACGCCGTTTTCGCGTTTCCATCTTTACGCTCTAACCGCATTTTTTTTTTTACACGCATGCGTCATAGCGTCGCCTCTAAACACGCATGCGCGAAACAGTATCACAACAACAATGGCGCCGTTGCTGCTAATGCCACTCACCCTGCTGTCGGGCTTACAACAGAATCTTCTTCTTCTGGAATATCTCCAGGAAGAACAGAGCAATATCGACGACATAGTTCAGCACCTGAATTTGACTTAACCACGAAAATGGACCCGCAGGGCAACCATGTATAAATATTAGTGCGCATGCCCAACATTTCGTCTTATTTTTGCTTTGGCACCACAGCGCCACTAACAGGCCTGGCATACATTTTGCAGCGTTTTCATGAATTCGTGTGGACGCTCACATTTATTTTACGTCTCCGTCTTTACGGCAAACGTTTTGGAAAATATCAGCGTTTCGTGTACGTTTTGACTTCGTGTGGACGGGGCCTTAGACAATTTTTATTGTCATTTTGTATCCACAGCATGTTTAGAAAACAAAATTTCCTTTTGTACAGCTTTCATATGAAATTAACAACAGGTGCACTAGAGGGGCAACAACGAGACAACCATCAAAATAGGAATGGTTTTAGAGGGGGCCACTAGGTTGATACATTTCATTTCCATCAAATGATGTGGCATCCTTTTGTTCCTAACACATTACCCAGTCCATATCAGTATAAATCATCAATCATAATTTTTTTGAGCAGTGTATGTGGTGCAAATATGCAGTATTTTTGGTTTGGTGTTGTCAGTGTGAGTCTGTGACATGATTGAGAATTTTCTCAACATTAAGCAGTCTGATGGCGGTTCAGAAGAAACTGTTTCGGAATCTGCTGGACCTGCATCAAATGCTGCAAAGCCTCTTCCCAGAGGGCAGCAGGGAGAACTGTTCATGGTGGCGGTGTCAGGGGTCTTTAATGATGTTACAGGCTCCGGACACGCAGCGCTGGAATGAAATGTTTATAGAGGTAAAAGGAGCCCCAATAATTTTCTCTGCTGTTCTTGCCACTTTTCTCATTTTCTTCCAGCCTGCGGCGCTGCAGCCTCCACACCATACAGTGAGACAGCTGGTCAGAACGCTTTCTATGGTGCTTCTGTAGAAGGTCGTGAGGATGGGTGGGACAGTTGGGCTCCCATCATCCTCCACATGAAGGACATGTGCTTTTGTGCCCTTTTGACCACGCTCCACTGCTCATGAACATCTCAGCAGTAGAGGTGGTCAACAGTACCAAATTCCTAGGAATGCACATCAAAGACAACCTCACCTGAAGTATAAACATGACCCCACTGGTTAAAAGGGCACAAAAGCGCACATACTTCCTGCAGAGGATGAGGAGAGCCCACCTGCCCCCAGCCATCATATTGACCTTCTGCAGAAGCATCATATAGAGTGTTCCGACCAGCTGTCTACTATGTGGCGTGGACGCTGCAATGCCGCAGACTGGAAGAAAGTGAGAAGAGTGGTGAGGAAAGCAGAGAAGATAATCAGGGCTCCTTTCCCATCAATAAAAGACATTTCATCCCAGTGCTGCGTGTCCCGAGCCCGTAACATCATCAATGACCCCTCACACCCCAAACATGGACTGTTCTCCCTGCTGCCCTCTGGGAAGGGGCTTTGCAGCATTCGATGTAGGTCCAGCAGATTCCGAAATAGCTTCTTCCCCACAACCATTAGACTGCTGAATGTTGAATAAAAAGAAGGGGGAAAAAGCGCTAAATGTTGGAACACTGTAAATCATATCTCAGTCTTATGTTTACATTTTATCACTGCTGCACTTTAAGAAATGGAAATGTCTTGAGAGCTGTACTGAACAAAATTTCGTTTGGAATACACCCTGTGTGTACAAAATGACAATAAAGTTTGTCTAAGTCTAAGATGGGGGATCGATGCCTTGTTTGTAGCATTCTAAAAGGCATTTTTTGATTGTCAAGAGAATTGTCGAGAGCTGCAACAGGCCGCTGGCGCCAGGCACCACCATGATGGAACTGACATTCCATTCAATAAACACCATCAACCTACTACCAGTAGATGGAGATACAAAAAAGGTTTAAAGAGGAGTGGAAAAGATTCAAATTAGTCACAGATGTGCTTTTCCAGACAATAGAATTAAAACTATTACTTCTACCTCATGAGATACAGGTCCTTCCCAAAATACTAGCATTTTGTGATAAAGTTCATTATTTTCCATAATGTAATGGTAAAACTTGAACATTGATATATCTTAGATTCATTGCACACTAACTGAAATAATTCAGGTCTTTTATTGTCTTAATATGGATGATTTTGGCATACAGCTCATGAAAACCCAAAATTCCTTTCTCACAAAATGTGCATATTTCATCCGTCCAATAAAAGAAATGTGTTCTAAACACAGAAGCCTTCAAATAATTATGTACAATTATGCACTCAATACTTGGCCGGAAATCCTTTTGCAGAAATGATTGCTTCACTGCAGCGTGGCATGGAGGCAATCAGGCTGTGGCACTGCTGAGGTGTTATGAAGGCCCAGGATGCTTCGATAGCGGCCTTTAGCTCATCCAGAGTGTTGGGTTTTGCGTCTCTCAACTTTCTCTTCACAATATCCCACAGATTCTCTATGGGGTTAAGGTCGGTCAGTAAACCATTTACCAGTGGTTTTGGCACTGTGAGCAGGTGCAGGCTCGTGCTGAAAAATTAATTCTTCATCTCCATAAAGCTTTTCAGCAGATGGAAGCATGAAGTGCTCCAAAATCTCCTGATAGCGAGCTGCATTGACTCTGCCCTTGATAAAACACAGTGGACCAACATCACTAGCTGACATGGCACCTCAGACCATCACTGACTGTGGGTACTTGACACTGGACTTCTGGCATTTTCTTCTCCCCAGTCTTCGTCCAGACACTGGCACCTTGATTTACAAATGACATGCAAAATTTGCATTCATCTGAAAAAACTACTTTGGACTACTGAGCATCTGCTTCTCTGTAGCCCAGGTCAGGCGCCGTTTGTGGTTCAAAAGTGGCTTGACCTGGGGAATGCGGCACCTATAGCCTATTTCCTGCACATACCTGTCAATGGTCGCTCTGGATGTTTCTACTCCAGATTTAGTCCACTTCTTCCACAGGTCCCCAAATGTCTGGAATCTGCCCTTCTCCACAATCTTCCTCAGGGTTCAGTCACCTCTTCTTGTTGTGCGGCGTATTCTGCCACACATTTTTCTTCCCGCAGACTTGCCACTGAGGTGCCTTGATACAGCACTCTAGGAACAGCCTATTCGTTCAGAAATATCTTTCTGTGTCATACATTCTAGCGGGTGTCAATGATGGCCTTCTGGACAGCAGTCAGGTCGGCAGTCCTACCCATGATTGGGGTTTTGAGTGATGAATCAGGCTGGGAGTTTTAAAGGCCTCAGGAATCTTTTGCAGGTGTTTGGACTTAATTTATTGATTTAGATGATTAGGTGCATAGCTCGTTTATAGACCCTTTTTCATGATATTGTAATTTTGTGAGATAGGAATTTTGGGTTTTCATGAGCTGTATGCCAAAATCATCCATATTAAGACAATAAAAGCCCTGAAATATTTCAGTTAGTGTACAATGAATCTCAGATATAAGAATGTTAAAACTGTATCATTACATTTTGGAAATTAATGAACTTTATAACAATATTCAAAGACTCGAACAATCTCACCAAAACCACCATGTGCACCAGTATGACTTATGGTGCGTTTCAATTCAAACTAAATAGTGGAAATGAAATCATTTAGATTTAACAAGCAATTGAATACACAGACATGTTTGAAAAAACAGAAATAAGTAAATATCTCAGAGTAAAGATATACAAATAAAGGATAATTTATAGACAATTTAAGAGAAGAATCATCATGTCATGCCAAACGATGATGTTTAAGATATCAATTAAAGGGGAACACCGTTTTTTTTTTTTTTTTACTACATTGGGCCCTTGATTTTATGTTATTACATCATGTTCGACTCACCCATGAGTTTTGTGTCATTTGGAGCTGTTCCAAAGATATTCGGTTTTGTTATTTATCGTCTCCCTATTGGGCAACGAGTTGAAGACACAAATTAAACTGTTAATAATTTATTATTTATGGTACGCCAGCATTCATAACATGTAGGCGAATCACTGTCCCCCAGACATCCACGGTTATATTTGATATATTTATACACTATATTGCCAAAAGTATTTGCTCACCCATCCAAATTATTGGAATCAGGTGTTCCAATCACTTCCATGGCCACAGGTGTATAAATTCAAGCACCTAGGCATGCAGACTGTTTTTACAAACATTTGTGAAAGAATGGGTCGCTCTCAGGAGCTCAGTGAATTCCAGCGTGGAACTGTGATAGGATGCCACCTGTGCAACAAATCCAGTCGTGAAATTTCCTCGCTCCTAAATATTCCACAGTCAACTGTCAGCTGTATTATAAGAAAATGGAAGTGTTTGGGAACGACAGCAACTCAGCCACGAAGTGGTAGGCCACGTAAACTGACGGAGCGGGGTCAGCGGATGCTGACGCGCATAGTGCGAAGAGGTCGCCAACTTTCTGCAGAGTCAATCACTACAGACCTCCAAACTTCATGTGGCCTTCAGATTAGCTCAAGAACAGTGCGCAGAGAGCTTCATGGAATGGGTTTCCATGGTCGAGCAGCTGCATCCAAGCCATACATCACCAAGTGCAATGCAAAGCGTCGGATGCGGTGGTGTAAAGCACGCCGCCACTGGACTCTAGAGCAGTGGAGACGCGTTCTCTGGAGTGACGAATCGCGCTTCTCCATCTGGCAATCTGATGGACGGGTCTGGGTTTGGCGGTTGCCAGGAGAACGGTACTTGTCTGACTGCATTGTGCCAAGTGTAAAGTTTGGTGGAGGGGGGATTATGGTGTGGGGTTGTTTTTCAGGAGCTGGGCTTGGCCCCTTAGTTCCAGTGAAAGGAACTCTGAATGCTTCAGCATACCAAGACATTTTGGACAATTCCATGCTCCCAACTTTGTGGGAACAGTTTGGAGCTGGCCCCTTCCTCTTCCAACATGACTGTGCACCAGTGCACAAAGCAAGGTCCATAAAGACATGGATGACAGAGTCTGGTGTGGATGAACTTGACTGGCCTGCACAGAGTCCTGACCTCAACCCGATAGAACACCTTTGGGATGAATTAGAGCGGAGACTGAGAGCCAGGCCTTCTCGTCCAACATCAGTGTGCGACCTCACAAATGCGCTTCTGGAAGAATGGTCAAAAATTCCCATAAACACACTCCTAAACCTTGTGGACAGCCTTCCCAGAAGAGTTGAAGCTGTTCTAGCTGCAAAGGGTGGACCGACGTCATATTGAACCCTATGGATTAGGAACGGGATGTCACTTAAGCTCATATGTGAGTCAAGGCAGGTGAGCAAATACTTTTGGCAATATAGTGTATATATATTTTTAAAACAAAGCGGAGTGTGTATTACGTCATCCGCGCACCGGACTGGAGTTGTGACAGGCAGCCCGGGACACAGGTGGCTACGCTCTACCCCTTCTATTCAATCGGCTAGCTAATCCGAATCATTCAATTCCAATCTGAGAGCGAGATCATCTGTGGTAGTAACATTAGACATCTTCCAGGCATGTGAGTAAAACTAGCAGCAGTTCAGCGGACAGGATGAATGAATGGTAGCCGGCGCGTGCGGATGACGTCATACACACACCGCTTTGTTTTAAAAAATAGAAATATAAAAAATATAGCTGCGGATGTCTGGGGGACAGTGATTATTATTATTATGGGGGACAGTGATTATTATTATTATGAATGCTGGCGTACCATAAATGATAAATTATGAACAGTTTAGTTTGTGCCTTCAACTCGTTGTCCATAGGAAGACGTTACTTGGATATAACAAAACCAAATATCCTTGGAACAGCTCCAAATGACACAAAACTCATATGAGTGAGTAGAACATGATGTAATAACGTAAAATCAAGGGCCCAATGTAAAAAAATGGTGTTCCCCTTTAAGCCGAAGAATTTAAGCATAAAGCAAAAGCAAGAGAATTCTAACAAGTAAATCTGTTTCATGCAAAATTAGCTAGCTGCAAGGACATCTTTTTTTATAGGTTAACTATTAAGTGATAAGAGTTTCAAAATCCAGAAATTCAAAAAGATGAGGGGGAAAGGAACCCTGCTTTAAAAAGGCACCAATAGGAAGAGACAGAAATACAGTCTGGAAAAGTTTTTGACTGGGGGACAGGGTGGTGTAATGTATACCCTCAGGCTGTTCAGCAGAGGTCTCCCCATGCAGCTCTTCTCCAGCAGCTTCTTGGATTTCAACAGAGTCCACCAGCTCATCCGCTCTATTGGCAGAGCTGCCAACTTCAGCTGGATGACTGGCCACTACTTTAGTAGAGACTATTTCTGACTTTACAGGATCACAGATAATTGTTTCCATGAATTCTTTCGGGGCATCCCCTAGGCCATCTGCAGGCACATGAGCATTAGGGTTGGGTTTATGTGGAGTTTCATTTTGCCCTACGACTGGAACTAGAGCTTCAAAGTCTGCAACAGTAACACTAGGAGCAGCATTGGTTAAAATATCTGACCTGGTAAGCTCAGCTACACTCTTTGAAGCACTGAGGACCTCAAAGCCTTTATCTTCAGAAATAGGTTTAGAGACCTCTACCCTAGACTGAGCCTCTTTTGTCTCTGCATTAGTAATGCCTTTAGTCACTCCAGTAACTTTATGAACTTCATCTTCCCCTCCTTCCTGATGACTAGGTTTTAACTCTGGAGAACAGTTTCTAGTTTCAATTCCCAGTTCTAACTTCTTATCTTCATCTTCAAGTTCTGAGTCTGAATCTGTATCAGACTCGCTAGACGACGAGGACAGGAGCTCCTCAATTGCTGCATCTTCAAGCTTATTTGAGACCCCAGCTGCTTTTATAATATCAATGGTCACAGCAGGGGCATGAATCTCTGCAGGTACTGACTCTTTACTAACTGCCTCAACTGAATTCTGAGGAACCTCTTCGTGGCTTTGAAATGATTGAGATGAAGGAACTAAGGCTACCAACTCGGGCTCGGTTCCAAAAATTATTTCTGATGTTGCAGCAGAGCCGATTGGTTCCTTAATTTCACCTCGGGAGGGTGGCAAAACTCCAGGACTTATATATTTTACTGGAAAGGCCACTCCAGTCTTGGAAGCCAGTTGGGCTGACCTCTTATCTTCACCTGCTGAGGAAAACAGTAATTGGTACACAAACAGGTAAAGGATATTAAATGGATTAGTCTTGCTAATAATAATTACATTTCCAAATGTTTCAATACAAACTTTACTGGACATTTCCAAAAACAAACATGGGGCATATATACTTAACTTAATTATTTACTGTTTTGGTACAGTGTCTACCAAATTACTGGTGATGTAACAGTTTGTTTAATAGCATAGCTGCACAATATATTAGTATATTAATATATAACAGTTATAAGTACAGTATGAAGATTTGCAGGATGTCCATTTCATTCTAAGCAGTAGTGCAGAGCACTGATGGAAGTGATAATTATATTACATAATTATGTTACATGTTTGAGAAGGGGTCCATCAAAAAAATAGCAGGACAATGGAACTCGGAGACTGGAGTTGATGACAGGCAATTCATAAAATGTAGAATTTTTAAAATTAGCCATCTAAAAGCTCTGTCTGAAAGAAAAGAGGCTTGCATGGAAGTCTGAAAGAAATGTAATTCTTTCAAACTCTAAATGTTTGTAAATGTTACTATAAATCATCATAGTTATTTTCCACTAGGAAAAAAATATCAAACTTATGAACTCTAAAATAATCCAATACATTTTCTAATCACAGAAACAGATTTTCACATTGAGCTTTATTGTTTAAAGCCTAATTAAAACAATTATATATTTATCCAGCGTCTGATGCTTCAAGTTCTTATTTCATATAAGACTATTTTATTATCTTATTTACCCGATTCTGACTGATCAGTCTTCATAATCCATCCCAAATGTGCCAAAAATAAATAACGGATCAAGTTACGCTTAAAATTATTAAGAAATCTGACAGATTTGTGTTAAAGAGGTTCCCCCCCCTCTCTCTTCAGAATGCATATGATCATTCTGGACATAAAATAAGAGGAAGAAAGAAGGAAAAGGCTCCCCTCTCCCTGCAGAAGCTACACTACGATTTTAGCTGAGGAACAATTTCCCTTAGGGAGCCGACCTTACAGTGGTGCAGCTGGTCAAAGACAAGTCTTTAATTCCAACTCTGGCAACTTTGAGTAATCATGTCAACCTTGTACCATACTTTGCATTATATAATCCCATCATCAGTGTCGTAGGTAGCAAACTTCTAAATGCTGCTTCGCACACAATGCGGTTCCTTTCACTGGTATTTGGAAAGTTAAATTTCTGTTGGCGGACTGGGAATCAAAACAAGGAATCAAAAATCCAAAATTTCGATGATTCTGGGAGAATTCAAAGGTTGAAACCAATTCAGATTGATTAGTGATTCTCAATACCCAACCCTTGTAATCAGGATGGCAAAGATGCGCATGTGGTTTAGAAGAGAACATAGAGTTACATGAGGTTTTTCGCCAGCATATTTCAGCTTAACAGACCATTAGGCTGAAAAAAGTAAGTTACTCTAAAAAACCATAAATTCTTATGTGAGTAACAACCCTTTTATTCGACATCTGGGCTTCCTCACTGCCAAATTTCAGCACAGCTGATTATGCTGAATCTTTTAAATTACAAGGGAAATATGTCAACTCCCTGACTCTTAAAGAGTGTAACGACCACGGAAAAGCATTTACTTCCTTATTTGCCCATAAACATGAAAGGAGTTCTCTGAATGTGAACCGTGTGCCGACTGTCATCAGCTTAAGGAGGTACGACATCCTACATCCAACAGCAGAAGAAAACCTTTGAAAAAGAGAAGAAAAGGAAGAAAGAGAGAAAATGCACCCCCCTGGATGCTGGTTATGTTAAAACCTTCTGTCTTGCTAATATATACTTAAAATATGCTAATTAGATTACGTTAGACCCCGAACACCCAGGCTTTTAGCTAGCCATGCGTACAGCCATACTACTAAAAGTACAAAAAAAAAGGCAAATTGTACCGCCTGTTTTCCCCCCAGAAACTAGTTTCGTGTTCTCGCACTAAGCCTACATCCCGCAAATCGCAAGAGTCGCATCCTATTGGTCGCACGTCACACCTATTACCCTATTATTAGTGGAATATCTAATATCCCTATGGACAATTTTATTGACAAGAATGAGCAATCTGCGCTGTTTGCATACAGGTAAGCCTGAAACTTTAAAAAGTTTACAAAAACTAATTGAATGCCTGATAATTATAGGATTATTTTTGAAGTCTTTTTATCTTTGGGACAATACTGTCAATTAGTGAGGCATCATGAAGGGTTTTCAATATACACACACGTGTGTTTATATACATATAAACACATATATATATACGCATATACATATAAACATACACATATATATCGCAGTGCAACAATTGACAATTGATTAAAAGGTCTAAAAACTAAAATGTCTACTAATATGCATATCTAAATACTGACACCTGCTGCACATTTAATATTCCTACAGGCAGATATTCCTACATATTCCTAATATTCCTACATTTCACAGACTAAACTGACACCAGTTTGATTACCTAGAATATGACTTAAGCCATTGTTTGCTAAAATGTATTATTTCATATTTATAGTTAGAATTGAAAATATGTTGGATATTTTTAGTTGAAATCCATAAATGTGAACATCACTATTGATCCCTCCCAGGAAGGACAATTATTATTTAACTATATGAAGCCTGCATCACCGCGCAAAGCCTGTAGTTGAAATATTTGTGGCTAAAAGTCTGCTCCCACATGCAAGTTTATACAAAAATCCTGGTGAGAACCCTGAACATCATTGTTAAAAAAAAGAAAGAGACTTGCATGTACACAATAAAACATGACATTATTTGATTTTTCCACCCTGGGACCTGGCTTTAAAACTGATAATTTTTCAAGCAAAATGCTGTTTTGTTTGGATGCACAGCTTAAACTAAAAAATATCTATATTTCACCTTATGGAAACTCAGAAAGTAAAGCTACTACAATTGCCCAGTTTATCCCACAACTTAATCATGTGAAAATCAATGTAAAGATCTGAAAGTCAAATTCATTCAAAAGAGAGTAAACAAATTCAAGATTTAAAGAGTACTTGTATATAACATTAGGTCTAAATTAAACCTAAGCAATGGTGGTGAGTGAAGCATACGTTTTTATATTAAGCATCAAACTAATTTAAATTAAAAACTATACTCTCCTCCAAGTGTCATTCCAATTCATAAAGAGAAGGCTTTTATCTGTATGTTAATTACTTAGGTTATTAGATTAAAATTCATCCGATTCTATTATTATTACAGATATCAATACTTATCTTATGAATTTAAGGTTAAATTTCCCTATAAAATATGCATTAACACAGAAAAATATTGATGCCTTCTCCAATTATTTCCCCTGCACTTCACATCTAGAAAGGGAGGATCATAGTAGCACATATTACAAATGTGTGCAAAACTTTCGATATTCTGCTAGTTAAAAATATAAGAAGTTAGAATTTTTTAAAGCCAACATCGCAGCAGCGGTTCTAAACACATCAGATGTATCCATATGTCAGCCACGGCTCTAGTGACACCATCAGGCTTTTAACAAGGAATATTTCATAGGGTGTACACCTTGGTGCACCACAATTTCAGGCTTCGCGCAGGAAGGCCGCTTGGCGGTGCAAGCTTCGTAATGTTAAATGACTATTATCCTTCCTGGTAGGGAACAATAGGCATATGTTGGCTAATTTGGGTTATAATCTCTGCTGGTTCGAACTGCTATCTATCATGGTTGGAATTAAATTCTTTTAACAAAAACACACAAAAAAAATAGTATCTAGTACATATTGAAAGAACAATGAGAAAGAAAATAAGATATATTGATAACTTACTTTAGATTAAAATTGATGGAGATTCCCAGTAATACCAGGCAAAACCAGTGATTACCAATTCTATGTTGTAATTCTTTTACATTTCTACCTTTTTCCCCCCCTCTTAACTTTCCCCAAATTCAAACTCCTTATCAGTTATGTTGAAATTTTTTTTTATAAATAAATCCTTTTCCATAAACATTTTAATTCATATTTTCATGAACCTATTGCTAAGGGACAGTACTGTCCCGAAGAAAAATACCTCCAAAATAATCCTATAGCTATCAGGCAATCTATGAGTTTCCATAAACTGAATTTTCAAAGTTTCACGCTTACCTGTTTGCGACCAGCGTAACTTGCTTGTTCCCATCAATGAAATTGTCAGTAGGTATATTAGATATTTCACAGTGCCCCTCCTCACACCGACATATAACCATTACGATGCAACACTTAGTCTTCTTTTTAGAAGTCAGTTACAGTGCCTTGCGAACTTTTCAACCTTTTGCCACATCTCAGGTTTCAAACATGAAAATATAAAATTATAATTCTTTGTGGAGAATCAACAACATGGGGGACAGAATCATGAAGTGGAAAAAATTATTGGATATTTTAAACTTTTTTAACAAATAAAAAACAGGATGTGCAATATTATTCAGCCCAACGTTAATATTTTGAAGAACCACCTTTTTCTGCAATTACAGCTGCAAGTCACTTGGGGCATGTCTATCAGATTACCCAATGAGAAAGTTTTGCCCATTCTTTCTTGTAAGACAGCTCAAGCTCAGTGTTGTTGGATGGAGAGCATTTGTGAACAGCCGTTTTCAGTTCTTTCCACAAATTGTCGATTGGATTTAGGTCTGGACTTCAACTTGGCGGCTGGACTTATTTATTTGTGAACAATTCCATTGTAGATTTTGCTTTACATTTGGATTATTGTCTTGCTGGAAGATAAATCTCCATCCCATTCTAAGATCTTTTGCGGATTTCAGAAGGGTTTTCTTACCGAATGGTCCTGTATTTGGCTTGAATCACCTTCCCATCAATTTTTACCATTTTGGCTTTCCCTGCTGAAGAAAAGCAGGCCCAAACCATGATGCTGCCACCACAATGTTTGACTGGGGATGTTGTTTTCAGGGGGACGAGCTGTGTTGCGTTCACACAAAACAACATTTTCCATTGTTGAGAAAAGGTTTGATTATGATTTTCTTTCACTGGTTTGCTGTGTCTCCCAGGTAGCTTGTGGCAAACTTTAAACAAGACTTTTTATTGATATCTTTTAGAAATGTCTTTCTTCCATAAAGGCCAGATTTGTTCAGCATATGACTGATTGTATGGACAGAAGTCTCCCACCTCAGCTGTAGATCGCTGCAGTTCATTCAGTGTGATCATGGGCCTCTTGGCTCCATCACTGATCAGTTTTCCACTTGACTGAGCTGAAAGTTCAGAGGGGCAACCGGGTCTTCGAAGACTTGCAGTGGTCTGGTACTCCTATTTCAATATTAAAGCTTGGGAAACGTTTTTGTATCCAAATCCAGCTATAAAGTTCTCTACAACTGCATCTTCAACCTGCTGAGTGTGTTCCTTCTTCTTAATGGTGCTCTCTGTGCTTTAAACAGACCTATAAGGCTATCACAGAGCAGGTGCATTTATACGGAGATTTGATTACACACAGGTGGATTCTATTTATAATCATCAGTCACTGGATCATTCAGAGATCCTCAATGAACACTTCAGACCTTAGTCAGTCTGGCTAGGACAAAACACCTCTGATGTCATCATCCTAAGCACAGGCTCCCCTCAGGGCTGCGTCCTGAGCCCTCTGCTGTTCACCCTGATGACACATGACTGCGTCCCAAGGTTCACCACCAATTGCATTGTGAAGTTTGCAGACAACACCAAAGTGGTGGGCCTCAGTAGAGATGAAAATGACCAGGACTACATAGAGGGGGTGGAGCAGCTGGTGGACAGGTGCATCGGCCTAACCATGCTCCACTGCTCATCAACAGCTCAGCAGTAGAGGTGGTCAGCAGCACCAAATTCCTAAGGGAGCACATCAAAGACCTCACCTGGACTGTAAACACCACATCACTCGTTAAAAGGGCACAAATGGCCATATATTTCCTGCAGAGGATGAGGAGGGCCCGCCTACCACCACCAATCCTCACAACCTTCTACAGAAGCACAATAGAGTGTGCTCTGACCAGCTGTCTCACACCCCCACCATAGACTGTTCTCCCTGCTGCCCTCTGGGAAGAGGCTTCGCAGCATTTGATGCATGTCCAGCAGATTCTGAAACGGCTTCTTCTACACCACCATCAGACAGCTGAATGTTGAAAAAAACTCTAAATCATGACAGACTGCATCTAACTGACCACATTGTTTCATTTTTTTTGCACCACCTTTTTCCTCCCACAATGTTTATATTTGAACTCTGATGCACTCGAAGAAATGGAAATGTCATGAGAGCTGTACAAAATGAAATTTAGTTTCTATATACACTTTGTGTATACAAAATGACAATAAAAGTTGTCTAAGTATATGAGTCTAACCTATGGAGATAGCTTGTTGCACTGAAGGCAAGGGGGCGGATTAGTTTCGCAAGCCCTACTCTTCAGATTATCTGTTAAAAAAAAGTTTAAAATATCCAATACCTTGTTTCCCGCTTGTTGTTTCTTCACAAAGAATTACAATTTCATGTATTTGTTTGGAGCGTAGCCTAGTAAACTAGCCCAATTTGCCAGCAGCCAAAATCATTTTTGCCTGCAAGTGGTCTAGTCTTGATCAATGCCCCAGGTCCTAGAACTTGCGGGCTAATCACAACGCAGAGATGCATTTTGAATTTAGAATAGATTTGGGGTTTTCGCTGAAACGTGGGCAGGAAGATTTTCTACGCTCATTCATTCATTTTAAAGAAGGACATATTTGCCGTTTTACCGACAGGCTGTTTGTTTACACTCCCCCACCAGCTTTCTGTCGCCCTTACTACGTCAAAGTCAGTTGCGCTCATTGGTCAGAGCATTGGCCAACAGAACCAGACATGGTTTGAAAAACAACAGGTTGTTATCATCAACAATCTTCGATGTCTCATTCATCGGGTTTAGACTAAATTACACATTTGATCTTACATTTAGTCTGGTTTATCACGCTATTTGAAACCTGAAATGTGGCAAAACTTTGAAAAGTTCAAGGGGCTGAATACTTTCACAAGGCACTGTAGGTTCAGTAGAAATTCATGTGACTCATGTGTTGCAAAAAAATTAAAAATAAAAGTTTTCAATAGCTGTTTCGCTAAAGAGATCTGAGATGACCAAAATAAAACCCTTTATCGAATTGTAAAAACCTGTTATCGAAATTGTAGTTTTAGTGAATTTGTTTTCATAATTACAATTTGTGCAATTTAATGGGAAGCAGCTAGTGCTACATTGAGGCACCTAATACCAACAGACATAAATGGCCTTACTTTTGGCGGGGCCCTTGGGTTTTTTCCCCGTGTTTGCTGCCTCTTTAGCTTCAATGCAGAACCAAGCAGCGGGGGGACGCCTCAGAGTGCCCAAACTGTTCCACTGGAGAGACAAAGAAACCAAAGTAAAAATGTTTCTCAATGAAGAAGAAAGGAGAAGTCCTAGTGTGGTTACCCCATTTAAAACAACTACAAAAGTTTTTACATACTTAGTCAATAAGTTCATGACATCCCATAATGAAATAAGTAGAGTAAATTATAATCCCCTTGTGGAAAAATTCACAGAAATGCTAAATCGATGGTCAAATTTGCCTATATCCATGATTGGACAAATAACATTTTTTTAAATTACAATTCTGCCCCAATTTATGTACTATTTTCAAACACTTCCACTTTCTGATTCATTTTATGACACTTTGGACAAGCTGTTTAACCAATTTATTTGGAGTAATAGAAAAGCAAGGCTCCGTTGAAGGCTACTCTTTCAGCCTTATGAAAGAGGTGGACTTCGAGGCCTGAATCTCAGATGGTACATAGCCGCCCAACTAACATCAGCTACTCATTACTTTAATCTGAGGACACTTCCAGCTTGGGTAGACATCGAACAGCAATCTGCTCCAGATTTTCCCTTAAACACCTTTCTATATTCTTTGGATATAAGGACACTAAAAAAACTACAAAGAATCCTTTCTTAAAAAATACAAAATATAATTTGGCATTTAGCACGTAAACATGTAGGTGACCGTCCAGAGATATTACAATTTACCCCTATATGGGGTAATGAAAAGTTCACCCCAAGGAAAAATGATGGGGGATTTAAACTATGGAAGGCATTCAGAAAATTAATGATGGCAGGTTGCTTACTTTCGATCACTTATGTAAAAAGTATTTAATACCCCCAAAACATTTTTTTAAATACTTGCAATTGAAAAACTATATGACATCAAAACTGAAACAAAAAGTTGACATTCCATCCTTAACAAAAATAGAATTGTGCATTGAGGATTTAAAGGGGAAAGGTTTTCTTTCAGTGTTCTAAAACTTGTTGATGCTTTTCTCTAAAGATTCACCAATAGATAAGTTAGATGCTTGGAGAAGAGACACTTTCAAAGACATAGATGAAGAAGACTGGAGTCAGGCATGTTTAAAAGCATAAAAACAAACGATAAATACAAGATTTAAACTTCTGCAATATAAATGACTTATGAGAACCTATATAACACCAATTAGGCTTCATCATATGTCCAGTGATATTCCAGACACTTGCACTCAGGGGAGGATCTAGGATTCTAGGAGATCAGGGACTTAGCATTGAGGGTGAAGATGAGATTGTAGACTTTCTGCTAAATCCCGTTCTATTGAAAAATATGACAGATTATTGGATTAAAGATATTTCTAGCATACTACATGCTATCACACATAAGAATTCCCCCTCCATAACATGGGAAGAAATTAATTCACCTGCAAGTCTTTAACTGTGTTTATTCCTCTCTTCATCAACAAACTCTGTGGATTTAGGGACATTTGATCATTATTTGCCAAAGTTATGAGAGGGGAATTATATATTTTAGCCAACTGATATAATCCGTTACATGGCAAAAAATAAACAAATCCTGTGAATTTTGAAACTGTGTTTTTTCTATATAATGCTTGAAACATTTATTATTTTATATTTTGAAATCCAAAATAGTTAAAATAAATCTGACTGTTCGTTTGATGATCTTTATGAAATCTATTTTCAATTCTTAATTCAAAATGCCTGCAGTAGCATTGCACCAGATATTTGGTTTGAACTTTTCTTGGAATTCTTGTAAATTATTAGATAAACATTTACCGTATTTTCACGACCATAAGGCGCACCGGACTAAAAGGCGCACTCTCAGTTATGTGTGCCATTTCTGT